GGGAAGGACTAGAATCTGTTAAGGGGAGGGGGGCAATTGGGGCTGTGCCGAGGAACAGCGACTGCTGACGTAATTTTACCGGGGAACAGCAACCTTGGAACAGCGACTAGTATTTTACTATATTTCTTTGTTACAGAATATCTAAGTGTAATCGCCTACAGTATCGAATACAGCTAGATCAGATATGTCACATTTCGTCTCGATTTTCAAGTTTTTAAAAAGGGTTTAATTGGACAAAAGACTGAATTTAAAAACGAAGTTTGTTCACTCACACTGCAGTTATGACTTTGTTTTGTGTGTGTTATTGGTTATTGACTTTTTTTTTTTTTTAATCACAAGGTCTTCAGTTCCATCTTGATTAAACTGTTTGCAAAATGATGAGTTCTTTGTGTGCTCTCTCTTAACAATTTATTACTGTAGTCTCTGGATTTATTGTCTACAAACATTTGTGGGATCTGTAGGTCCCTTCATCTCAATAAAGAAAATGACAGTGTCTTTCCACCAAGTCACCATACTGTACACTGCGCATTGGCAGTGCAGTGTGCAGAGTGAAGGCCTAGCAGCTGAGACGTCAGATGCACAACGCAGTGGGTGACCTCCATACATGACTTCAAATTCAAAACTGATAATTCAAAGACAAAGTCTGCTAAAGTTAAATATAGATGGCATCAAATCAGATTAACCGAGAGGTACTTTGCTGCTTATTTTGATATGCTGGTACAGAAAATGAAATCAGTTTTTAGCTGCAATAATTATTTGTAAAATTCAGTGAGCAAAGTTTAATCCAGCACGGCGGCTAACTTCAAAGGGATTCTGCATCACAGCTCACAGCTCCCAATTCTGACTGTAGGGGTCTATAACGAGATTAGTTAAAACTGACAGTTGTCCTTCCTCTTTCTGATAAGAAATTGCTACTGATAAAATACACTTTTTTTGCGATCCTCTAAATCAAGCAAAAAAACCCCCGCGAGTCATTTTGTTAATTTTGACACCTAGGACCGAATTTGATATTATTTTTACGATAGAAAGTAGCATTCAGTAAGTTTATTTTTGAAATCTTACTGTCGGCGGGCCGCATCGATACCATAATCAATACCATCAAGATGAGGTAATCGCTGGAGCGTTGTCGCTATTCCGCGGACAAATTTTCCCCCTGTTTTTAAAAATAGAGTCGTTGTTCCCCGGTGCTCTGGGATTTGAGAAGAGGGGGAAGAGGCCTGGGGGGGGGGGGGGGGGTGAATCTCCTTCCTGGGGGGGGGAAGTCTGTCAAGAGAGGGAGGATAAGTGGAAGGAATCTGTAATGAGGGGGGGGGGGGGGGGGGGTTTTGAAAAGGTTATTGTGGGTGTGGGGAGTGGGGAGGGTGGTAAAAATCGGTGATGTAAAGACTACTGAAGTGGAACGTCAGTGTGATATGTCAGTATTCTGGGGAATCATTGTGAGTCCTTCTTGGGGTCTATCATCCATCATCATCATTAAAGTCTTCAAGAATCTCACAACTGATCAGAAGCCTTAGCATTTGCAACTTCTCCCCCCCCCCCCCCACCCAGGGGACAGAAAATAATTTTAAAATCCTCACTGGTCTAAAAATAATTATTTTAAAAAATACTTCCCTCCCCCCTCCCCGCCCCAAGACATATGGAAAGAAATAACTTCATACCTGTTTGTTCTAATATGGAGCTCTATATCGTCTGCTAAATCAGCACAGTACTCCTCTAACTCTCTCGAGTCTATCATGACAATCTCCTGCCTTGTGACTGTGTTATGAATAATGATCTTGAAGTCGTGAGGATTGTCTTTACCGGCAGGATAATGTTCTCTCAGTAGCCTCTGTTTCTCCTGGAGACAAAAACAAAGACATCTATTTAAAGAATAACAAAATTCACACATAACAAGATCAACAAGACAATCAAGCCTGCAAAGAGGAGGACGAGACTATGGACCATGTATTTGTGAAATGTCCAACCAACTATCGTACCAAAATATGTTTTGCTGGGACATTTCAGTGACTCACATTCAGCACTTTTCAGGGAGTATAGTTCCTGCATGCTGTCAGCATCGCTGACCACTTATGATGCCACATTGCCAGAAGGAAAAGAGAGAGAGAGAGAGAGAGAGAGAGAGAGAAAGAGAGAGAGAGAGAGAGAGAAAGAGAGAGAGAGAGAGAGAGAGAGAGAGAGAGAGAGAGAGAGAGAGAGAGAACAGGACTTGCAAAGACGACCCTACAAGGCACTACTGAACAAGGAGGGAGAAGGAAAGGCAAACAAAGAAAAAGGAAGGGGAAGACAAAATTACGGAATGGACAAGTCGGGTTAATCCCTTTGGAAGGCTGAAAATAGAGGCGGACACAGAAAAGTGGTTGCCCGATAGTATTTGGTGCTCTAACGGTCATCTAAGACTAAGGGATAAGTAACAATTCATGTTCATCTTCAGTGTATGGTCACATTTCAATAAATACCCAACTGTTCCCTGAATGGATCATTACATGAGTATGTGTTATTGGTAGCCACAGTGATAGCCTTTTGTATGAGTTGTCAGATTATTCCAGAGTGCATGTATTTGAAAGAATCAATGTAAGTTGAATGAACCAGTATGCACGGAAAGGGGATTTAAATTTTATTTTATTATGAAGTACCTTGAGCCACCAGGGAGTGGCGATATAAAAGGGATCGTTATTATTATTATTTTTATTATTATTATTAACTCTATTCCTACCAGGCCAAAATCCACCACTGGCCCACAGCTTTTCCCTGACCTATTTTTACGCCCCTACCCCACCAAAGGAAAATGTCAAAACATCCAACTAAAAACACACAAACCATATGTTATGGCCCATCAAACTGAAGGTTAAAAGATAATCTATCAGACAGTGATATAATATTGAAGATTTATTCCAATTATATTTCTTTGGGGTTTCTAAAAGTTATAATGCAATATCGAAGGTGTCATATGAAGTCAACAATTTTCAAGCTTTGAAAGGTCATAATATCTAAAAAAGTAAAACAAGAGCATCATTCAAACTTCCCAGGTAGGTTGCCTCAAGTAATGCGAAAGAATGCTGGAAGTTATGTATGTGTACCTAATATAGAAGTGAAAATATGAGGCATATACTGAAGTCAGGGGAGCGCTTTTTTTCTCATATTTACGTTTAGAAGCGAGACAAAAAAAGCACTGAAATGACTAAAAATCGTCTGTCAGTGCAATAATATTTTCTTTCGTATTCGCTAACAGGAAGTCTATTCTATTATTTTGAAAACGTAGATCGGCCAAGAATTTCTTGTCTTTTCATTACTGGATTGGAATAGATACCAAGCCACTCCTGCCGTATTTTGCGGCTCTCGGTCCAGCGAGGTCAGGTTCACGAGCCGCAAAATGCGGCTCATGGTAGGGAAAAAGTTAATATTATTATTATTACTCATATTTTTATCATCACTCTTCTTTTTATCACAGTTATTATTATTATTCTCATTCTCGTTATTATTCTTATTATCATTATCATTAATATCATTATCATAATCATCATCATCATTATTAACTCTTATTATAATTATTATCATAATTATTATTAGAATTATTATCATAATTGTTAAGACATACAAACAGGGCACTGCATAGTGGCAATCAGCAATGGCTTGTCAGCAAAATTGTAGGCGGCCTTTGCATTGCTATGATGTATTTTATGATGTTATTGGAAAACTATATATCTCTGTCGGCTGACAAACACCTTTTCTTTATTCACAGTAGTTTCGAGAGAAAGGGCACTTTGTCAGCGCAACATAAAAATTAGAAAGGAGTTCTTCCCAAATTTGAATTTATTAAAAAACTAGTCACAGTTTCACTTTCATTTTTCCACCCAAGAGGGTAACTGATCAGGCTATTTATGAACCAAATTTTTAAAATGTGGCGCCCAAACAAAAAGAGGCGTCTCGTCAGCTTATGGCAGTGGTGTCATTATGCTCTAAACCATATATATAACACACAGGATAAAAAAAAACCCAATCAACTCTTTCATTTGTTCTAATTAAACCATTGTCACGGTTAATCTGCTGGTCTTTGATTTCAATCAACCTCTCGTGTCTAGAGGCAGGTACTGTTTTCGCCTTTCATTCAATATACAAGTCCTGGTTTCGAAACCTGAAAGCCACAAAAAATTTTCTTCTTTAAAAAATGTTCTACTTTCACCTTTCCTGCTCTCTAATCATGTTCTTTTGTCTGTTTTTGTCTCTACTTTCTGAGCGTTCAAATGATCTTATGCAGTTGGGAGCACTGTAAAACATTGACCCCCATCAGGATCAAGAAAAGGGACATTGAAAGTCTATCTGTTTCTATTTTATTACATGAAAACTTGAATCAAATATTGTGCCAGATTATGGTAGCGTTTATTCCATCCATGAAGGAAAACCAGGCTAGCCTTGACTAAATATGATTGGCAGTGAGCGCTCGGTATTACGTGCTCCAATGTATCATACATACATCAATCCACGTTGACTACCATTTAAGTTAAATTTTATGTACACTTTAGTGGGCCTAACTATCTGTCTCACACCGTACTACTTCTGTCTGCTTTAAATTCTGCAAAGAGAAATAATTCTATTAACTGTTAATCATGAAAAACATTGAAGCATATTTTTATGATTTAGAATTATTGTGAACTTATGAAACTACAGACAAACTTTTGACAACTAGAGAAAAGAAGTCATGTGATAAGAGAAAAGAAATCAATTGACTGCAAAAGGTGTGCTACGATTTGTTAAGAGAAGTTCACTGCTTTTGTTGCGGTTTGTAAAAAAAAAAAGTATTACCTACTAACTCTTTAGTATCTATCTGTCTCAACTAAGGACAATTAGGTACACCTTTTGAGGAAAAGCAACTGGGAATCAAACCGCCTGTCCTACAATTGTGAGCCAAGTGCCATGACGCTTTAATCTCGGAATTATTTTTCACATTTTGACAGAATTTTTTTCAAGGATCTTATGAAAAATGTAACAGGATACATTTGCAAATATTTATAAAGTGGCTAAAACTGTGTCAAAGTGAAAGAGGAAGGCAGTGAGTCAAAATAAGTCTATTCTGATTTGTAAGAGATTGCATTAACAGTGAGTACTGTTTCATACATCCTACGACCTGACCGGGCGCTGGGACCGTCCACTCAGGGTCTGGACGAATTTCAGTGGAGACTCTCCCAACTTCCACTCGCCATTATAGAGTTAATCACAAGAGTTGAACACCCTAATTACCTGGCCAGCTGTTACACCTGCTGAGACATTCAGCAGGATGTCTGTCAAAAATGTCAAGTCAGGGAGAATGAGGGTACAGCCAGTGCAATACACTTGTCCTTCTGAAATCACATTAGAAATAATAATATATGGGTCACGACATGTTGGAATCAGGCACTCGTCAATTTTGGGGCATATGGGGTTATTGGTGTCATCTTAAAGCCTGTTCATTTGCCTTACTTTTGATGAAAAAAATTATCCATCTTCGTTGAATAGATGTCAAAATATTTGCAATGGATTGAGGTCAGGGCCGTCTGGTTTCAGAGGTAAAATTGGTGAGAAAACGGCCGCCAAAGTTTGGTAACTTCCATAGCCTGGGAGTCCTTGGAAACTGAAAATTGACATTTTTTGTACCTTTAATCAATGTTTTTTAAGTGAAAATCCAGACCAAAATGTGTTTCTAATTAACATAAAAGATGTTGAGTCAAAAAAAGTAAATTCGAAAATAATTGGCATTGAAAGAAATGCTGATTCATTTGATTTCATAATTCTGACTAGCGCCTGCGATTTCCCCACGATGCCTCACAAATAACAATAAATAAATAAATCAATCATTAATTACTACGACAGACAGAAAATACATAAATAAATAAATATAAAAAGCGGCAAACTTAACCATAGAATTCAGGCTCGTACAGAGTGCCCTGAAATTTGGAACAAAACAAAAATTAAGTCCTCTTCATTTCCACCATAATGATTACGTAAGTATAAACACCTGCATAATCTCTCTTTCCTACGATAAGGCTTTGAAAAGAAAGCTTTACAATTATCATACTAATCCTCTCCCAACAAATCAAAACACTAATTTCTTGTGCGATCAATAAAATTGTTTTCTCCAGTCACATGACTTCCTGTGGTTGTCAAAAGTTTGTTGGTATAGTTCTTTGAGTTCATGATAATTCTTAATCAAGAAAGTATGCTTCAATAGTTTTCATTCTTGGCAGTTATTCCTCATGGTATTCTTGTAGAATTTAAAGCAGAGAGACCTAGGGTTGGTTTGAAGCTCAAAAACTAGAAATGAAAAAAAACCAACAACCCAGCTGTTCAGACAAAAATTTAGACCGTCAGGAAATTAAATTGTTGTGTCTGATTCTCTGACACAAACAGTTTTACAAAATCACTGTAGGCTATCTATTGGTTGTGTTATCATTATAATAGCAGTGTTATGACTACAGGTATCACAGTAATCATTTTAACGACAAACCCAAGCTTGCCCTTTGAAATTAATATTATCTTATATGGATTTGTCTCATTTAGTAAATAAAATAAATGTGTCCCTGCCGGTCAATATCAGTCATATGAAGGAAATTTGAAAACTGAGTTAACATTATTTTAAAAAACTATCACCTTTTCCTTGCAATTTAAAACAAGAATAAAGTAAATATGACATTATTTCACGAAAATACAGAAGTTTTAATTGTGCGGGGTGAGGAAACACGAAAAGGAGCAATGGCCTCCGAAGTGGGGCAACATATTTCCATAGCAATGGGGGTCTTAGAATTGAGATAGAGACTTGAAATTTAGCAGTTTTCTTAGCTATGCCACTACAAGGTAACATACAAAAGTAGAAAACTATTCATTCACAGAAAAAAAACCTTATGGACCAAACAAAATTTTAACGAGAATGGACTTCACGTCAAATGCAACAAAATATTAGCATTATACTAGATACCCGACACTAAATTTTTCAAAGTAGCTGTATGTCAAACTCATCCGTTTCATAGGAAAGGCCTATGTCTCCTGAGAATTTTCGTACCATACTTTTACCTCTCAGACAATGTTTGAGAGAATGACAGCTGTTTCAATTTAACATAATAATCAAATATTGCTGAAGTCGTTAACTGGCTGCAGCTCCATGCTTGACAGATAGTAAAAGAGTACAAAGTGCACCAAACATCTCTACATTAAAAGAGTACATTCACTATAACATAGAAATGAGGCCTAATATTTTTCAAGACTGAGATCATTACAAATCAGTATTTTATTGGCTCAAACACGATGATCTGTCGTTATTTCAATAAAAACACCGAGCGTTGTCTCGGCCAGCATCACACCATCCTTCGCTGCGAGCAAGCCGGCTCAATACTGTAGTATATTGAGTGCTCACAGTTGTGTCGCAAAAGGATTCATGCAAAATAATTCCAAGCCGATGACTTTATTCTAATAGAAAAAGAACAGTTCTTTCTATTGGTACCTTTTTTTAGCCGGTATTTTACATATTTCGTATAAAAAATAATCTTTGAAAACGTAAACCCTTTTTTTCAAGGTTTACTATCTAAATGTCAAAGTCCAAAAAAAATAACCCTGGGAAACCAGGCTCAAAGCTATATAGTTCTACGCCAATGAAAAGACGGTATTTAATCATCAATTATTTCAACAAAGCTTTCGACTGCAAGGGTGTCAATTTTGAACCGGGGGACCTCGCATTCTGACTGTGAGGGGCTTCCCTTTCCACGGCGATTCTCCAGCTCCAAATGCCCGGATATACAAACAACTTACGTTATTATAATGAAGAAAATCTGAACTTTTTCAAAGTGTTCAGTATTTGGTGTTTTATAGCAAAAGAGCAAAGAAACAAAGATCTGAATTACCCCCATTTCACCGGAACCACGCGCGCGGAAGGCCCCGAGTTGGCAAACGTGCCGTGTTTACGTTACCTAATTATATTTTTGCAAAAGCACAAGAAACACACCAGAGCACACACACACACACACACACACACATACACACACACAAACACATATAAACACACCAACACACAAACACACACATGCACATAGACCGCCTCGGTGGCCTTTTGGTAAGGAGTCTGCTCTGAGAGATCAAGAGGAAGATTAATTAATCTTTTAAAAGCTCTAAAACACAATAAAAACGAATTTTTAAGTCAATCCAAGTGTAAAACTGAAAGATTAACAGACGATAGCAACTAGCAGGGCACATTTAAAATAGTTGCGAAGTTTCCACCAGTGGAGAAGCTTTGGTTGAAGTACAGGTGGCCATGAGGTAATGGTTCTAAAAAAATAATCTCACAGCTACACATTAGCAAGGTCCGAATTCCTTTATCTCGTCACCCAAGCTCACATCAAAACACACGCACATACCCCCCGAGGCAGTGCCACTGTAGTGTCTTTAGGCCATTCCCAAAGGGGGGACATTTCTCATTCAAGCACAGTAGAATTGTAAATGGGCTGATTCATCATGTCACACTCATCTGTGCCTGATCTGCAGCAGGGAACTGCTGCTTTTTCTTTCCTAATCCTTACTATTGTCATTTCCTCTACTTCTTTTGTATATTATGTTTGTCACTCTCTTGTGACCTGCTATTTCCGAGGTGCCTTGTAGTCGAAGCAGACCTTGTGCTGTTGAAGCTAGAAAGGTGAACAGAGTAAGTCTGATTCCCTGTTAGGACTTCTCTGTTGACACCCAACCCTTGGCGCTCATATGACCGTATGCAGTTGCGAGCACCGTAAAACCCTCTACTAAATAAAATAAATAAAAACCACACACACCTCCAAAATAAATCAAAATAGAATATTTATAGTCGATTATAGTTGTTGATTTTTATCTTAAATGAAACAGAAGACATCAAACTTTCAAAATACCCAAATAAAAAATTTCATGAAAAGTCATTTTTTGGTCTTTCGAGCCTCTTAGCTGATAATAGCATAGTGCGTCTTACGACTGATATTGAGCGGGGCAGACAGAAATAATATGAACCTGTAGTATCAATCAAAAAGGTGTGAAGACCATATATGTCAATAAATTAAAGAGGATCCAACATAAATTTTATTAAACAATAAGTGTGAGACGACATATCATGGCACACCTAAGTCTATACACATCATGTTTACTCTAAAAACGAAGTTGCTCTAGTCTGTTAAGCCTTAAAAAGGCAAAGAATAGAAATCTTCAGTTTTATAAAAATTGGAAATATGGATAAAGAGTATTTTGTTCATAAAACTTCATAACTGGCCTTCTTGACTTTTACCAAAGATGCCAGTACCATCCATGTTCTTCTCCCAGACCTGTTTAGAGTCTGAAAGTGGTAGTTGATCAAACAAAACATAGTATGAGAAAACACAAGCGCACAAATATGAAAAATACTTTTTTACCTTTTGAATTGCCAACAATCCTTTCTACCCAGAATTTATTAACTCTCTATAATAAGCTTTATATACATATATACGCACAATATTTCCACATATTCTCAAATACTGCTGCAGGCTCTTGATTGAACTAGCAATAAGACTTGGTGTGATGGGATAAGATCATAAGGATACAACTCAGAGAAAAATCCAAGATTGTTTCCGAAACCACCAAAGTTAAAAAGCTCCATGTAGATAATAAAGAAGTTAGTGTATACGTTACACTATAAACACTTAGTTTATAAGAACTTTCGAATTCTTTACGTTTTTGAGCTTGACATCCTTTTATCATGTAATCTGTCAAACAATTTCCATCCAAAATAGTATCCAAAACACTCAAAACAGATATCTATGGGTAATTGTGTACGTGTGCGTAGAGTGTGTGTGATATACATTATGTGTGTGTGTGTATGTGTGTATGTGTGGGTGTAGGCACTACTGTGCGGTCCGGTTGGCACTAAATACACTAGGCTGACTAGGCCTAGCCCAGATTCGAGTAGGGCCTACTGCACTTCACATGGATATCGATATTGATTTAAATAGTCGGTATCTAAGTTTTATGTTTTATCCGTAGATCTAGTCTACAAAATAAGCAGTAAAATTTCATTTGTTTTTAACGAGGCAAGGGGGGTTTCAGGGTGGCTTGTCTCACTGAACTAAAAAAATAACATGGAGGTTTTCAGGGGGGCATGCTAGGCCCCCCTGAATTTGACCATGATTTGAGGTTTTGCAATTAGGTTTGAGAGGCTATCTCTCTATATCGGCATGAGCATCAAAAAGTAATTGTTTAGAACCAGAAGTAATCGTCGGTGGGGTCAAAACTAGATCCCCAAACAGGACCGCAATTGTACAGGAGTGCCGTGTGTGTGTGTGTGTGTGTGTGTGTGTGTGTGTGTGTGTGTGTGTGTGTGTGTGCGGGTGGGTGTGTGTGTTCATATTTATAACAAAGTAAAAATTCAAAATGGAGGCGGCAGACATTACTTTTTTTGAACGGTAACATGACAAGCTTAAAATTAAAGTTAAAATTAACAGTTACATATTAATTATGACAAAGGCTACTCATTTTCTGCCACACAATTATAACACAATTTGAGGTCATTTTCTATACCTAGGTCCACCTTTGACTAGAGCAAAAGTGAAACTATAGGCCTACCTAACAGGCTTATGCCTAAGGAAATTATTATAACCTCACTACAGAGGACAAAACACAAGTACTAGACTAGCAATTTATTAAAGCCAACAGGGAGAAAGGTAGTCTTTATTGTTAGGAAAGACTAACCTTTCTCCCTCCTCTTGAGGTTAATATAATGTAACTTAATACACACATCTAAAACTAAAGATGTTACCTGCTTGAAAATGTGTAATATTAAATAAGAATTGCTCGGGATGACAAAAATCAATGTCACAGACTTCAATCACAGTGGAACAGTGGAAGCTTGATCAAACAAACAGCCTCTATGGTAGTGATGGAGGAGAAAGAAAATGGAGTTCAATAGATAGATTTCCCGGATTTCGTTGAAGGTTTCCTCAGAACAGATAATTTTTGCTCAGAATACTGCTGGGTTTTCCCGAACCCAATTTAAAACGAAGAAGAAGAAGGAGAAGAAGAAGTACAGCACGTGTGGCTAGCTGAGAAATAATTTACTTCACCCGACGATTCAGATGTCGTGGTCAGCTTAAAATGTATACGGTCTAATAGCAGGAATTATGAAGGCCTACAATTTCTTTAAAGTACACGGAATGGTGGATACGATTCAAACTATTCTTTACTGCAGATGATAATTTGAATAAAAATAAGGTACTGGAAAATGAATCACGATAAGCACGAATAGATAAGATAAATAAGTCAAGATCATAGACCTATAATTAGCCTACTTAATAGGTCTATGGTCAAGATAAGATACGATACGATACGATACGATAAGATACGACCAGATAAGATAAGATAAGCCTTCATCTTTATTTTTAAGATATCTTGGCACAGGTTTAAATTGGTGATCACAATGTATATATACATACCCCCCCCCCCCCTTTTTTTTCTAATTATTGTATTTTATATGATTAATTATTGCCTCTCATCTCCCCCCCCCTCTCTCTCTCTCTCTCTCTCTCTCTCTCTCTCTCTCTCTCTCTCTCTCTCTCTCTCTCTCCCCCTCTCTTTCTCTCTCTCGAGATCTCTCCCTCGTCTCTAGCTCTTTTCTCCCCCCCCCCCGGCATCTCTCTGTGCCTTATAGTTTTGACAAAGTAATTGTTGTAATAGATTTTGAGTTTCAGATCATGTCAAGCTTTTTCGACTGCAATTCCTTGAATATCTTGATAATAACTTCAATTTAAAAAAAACGATTTTGACATAGCAAGTAGAATTTTCATTTCGAACCTGTCCTCATATGGACTTGATAACTCAAAACAGTCAAAAATGTCTGTTGAACTTTAATGTAATTCTGAGGTAATGAATGCACATGATCCCAGTCCAGCCCACTCTTAATATCACAAACTACAGCAGCAGTAGCAAGAACAAAAATAAAACAATTATGTATTATGTATGTGTAGTCGTTATTTTTTCCGCAGCTGTCATTTAAAAAACCAAAACAAACAAACAAACAAATAAACAAACTATTATCTCTGAGAATATGTTCAATTTGTTTTGGTCAGGACACTTTTTTTCTTCTCAACTTACTAGAATATATGATTTTTTAAAGTTTCTTTCCTCAGAATTCAAAGAATTGACAGCGAACAGGGGCATTTTAGTGTTTTTGTCTGAGATCTGTAACGAAAAGTTTCACGATGGAGAAAAATGTAACCTTTCACCGGCATATTTGCTTAAGGCTACACCGATTGACCTCTTACCCCAGCAACAACAAGTTACTGCAAACAATATGGCGACTCGATCAGACATGTAAACGAAGGGGACGCCATAATCAACAGGGATTTTTAAGTTTATTGGAGAAAGGAGGAACAAATTTTGGTAATTTAACAATGTCTCTGTAATAGTTTTTATGCTTACTGTTCCCCTTGAAATGAAATGAACTGGCATATAGAAACTAGGCATATATATAACTCAAAGCTAGATTTAGATATCTAGATAGTTTGATAGTCATCAAATCAAGGTATACTAAATAATGTTACTTATACAACGTGCTGTTGAATGCAATAAGTACAGAATACCACAAAAAACTCTTTATTCTGATTCCTTTTCCGGGCTTTGTGTTAGGGCTAACGTTAGTCGACTAAAGGACATTGACATCTGACTATTCTGGTGCACTCAGGCTCATTCATATATTAATTTATTGTGTTGCACAATGCAGGTACGAAGAAAGTAGCCCATGCAGAGTGCCATGATACAATTGTTGGTGATTGCTGGAATTGAAAACAGTTCTTTTAGTGAAAGGCTTAGTGCTGGAGAGGTTTAATTAATAGATCTATATATATATATATACTTCCCTTAATAGGGTTGAATTAGAGAACTGAACAAGTATAAAGGGTGTAGACCTATAGGCTGCTTAGTGAAAGAGTTGGATGTGCACTCATCCAACAAATTCAAATCCTGATATTCTGTATTATAAATGTGTTTGAATGTTTAAGTGAAGGAACTTGTGAAAACGATCATACGTGAATCTGCGCGTGCGGGTGATGATGATCCAGCAGCGTTTTCTTGAAAGAACTCATTTGGTAGTTTTTCTTTCAATATATTTCTTTAGTGTTTCCTTCTAACTAGAGGGGCTGGTGTGTCTTCTTTGTCCTGTTATAAATCATTTTTTTTAAAATTACATTTTTATTGATCCCAGAAATTACAAAATTATAAATACATAGACCTACATATATATATATATATATATATATATATATATATATATATATATATATATATATATATATATATATATATATATATATATATATATATATATATATATATATATATATATATATATATATAGATATATTTAGATAGATATAGATATAGATATATATATAGATATATATATATATATATATATATATATATATAGAGATATATATATATATATATATATAGATATATATATATATATATATATATATATATATATATATATATATATATATATATATATATATATATATAGATAGATAGATAGATATAGATAGATATATATATATATATATATGGAGGTATAGATAGATATATATAGATATATAGAGACATATAGAGATAGACAGAGAGATAGATAGGAGGATATAGATAGGCTATATAGATAGATATAGACCTCTATAAAAAGCGACTGAAACCGATCAAGTTCTCTCATATATATATATATATATATATATATATATATATATATATAAAAATACTCAATAACACCGATACAGAACAATTTCACAACCATGCTATCTCTTGTCGCTTCTGTGCAGTGCCCTGTTTTTTTTTAGATGGGGTTGTCGTGTCTTGCTCAAAGACTCACCCCAGTGACCTCCCGTCTGATCCCTTTACTTTACTCTAGAATCTAAACTCACTAATCACTTAACTACTGGAGCCCCCAGTTAACATCCTCATAATGAAACAAAAGTTTGATCTTTAAGGTGTAATACTCAGCGTCAAACTAAGACACCTACACTAGTGTAATAGGATCCACTGAAGCATGAGCTTCAGGCATGGAATGCTCTCCTGTACTTCTCGCAGCCTTGGGAGTTTGTCGGCAGTAATTGCCTGCAGAACTGACATGGCATCTGTCAGAAATACCGTTTGGTTTTAGGGGGTCTACCACATTCCTGATGATGTTGGCCTACGTCTCTGCCCTGTTGTTAGTACAATAATGTCGCCTGGTTGGGACTGCCTCTTCTTGGCATCATCCATTTGAGAACTGTGTATACAGTCCCATGCATGTAGTATACTTCTACCATTCTTGACTGCGACTCATAGATATCACCAGTGTCTATGATGTAAAAGTGATGCACTTTACTGTCGCTCACTTCTCAGATGACGTGAGTTTGATTTCCGTGTGAGGATAATTTTTATCAATTATCTCCATCTGTCTGCTGGGACATATTGTATCCCTCTCAGTCCTTGTTTGTGGGTGCTCTGGTGTGCTTTGCTCTTTTTTTTGTATCAAACATCTATCACCTTATCTCTCCACCTTTTTTATATCATGTATTTTACTATGTAGAAACGCCTCAAATCTTCAGCACTTATATGACTTAATTGTGTTGCAAGTGCCTTAAACCCTTTGTAAAACTAAACTAAAGAGCAACCAACTTTCCAAAAACATTGATGAAGAGCAACAAACTCATTAACCCCCCCCCCCCCAATAAAAAAAAAGAAACCCAGCTATGATGACTTGTGTAATCCAATAAACTGGTTTAGAATCTTCCAACAAAACTTGTTGACAAAACCCTCTTAAGCAATAAGCAAAAACAAACAGAACTAGGGAGAAAGCAACTCTTCCAAATCATGCACTGAATGAGTGTTTTTCTCCTTAAACTTTTCAATATCTAAAAGAAAATGTTAAGAAAGGAGGGGGGCGGGGTGTCCCCCACCCATAACCACATCTCCACCTACACCACTCATAAACTCATAAACTCACAGCCTCGAACACCCTCTCCCATTTTCACCATTAACCTACCCCCCCGTAATCGTATTCTCATCAACCCCGCCCGCAACCTCATCCAACCTACCCGACTGTCAGACTTTTACCTCCCCCAACCATTAGCCTTGGCGCTCATATGACCTTATGCAGTTGCGAGCGCCGTAAAACCTCTACTAAAAACCAACCATGAACCTGCCCCCACCAATACCCCCCCCCCCATCATGTTTTGTCAAATTGACTGTTGAAAAATCTTGAGACTATTGTTCTTAATGTAAGTTTAAAAGTTATAATAACGTTTTACCCAAAGTGGGAATAAAATTATGAAATGAAATTTATTTTCGATTATTATGGAACAATCGTATAGTATGAATTCAGGATTTGTTTTCATCCACAATTTAGAGATGCCTCCTCGAATAATAAGTTTTGTTAACTATATTCTTATTGTTGGAAAGCTTTTTATGTGTGGCCTCATTTCTACCTGGATTTTTGTTTCATTTTGATTACCCTTTCAGACAGATCAGCCTTCGCCCCTGCGTATTAGCAATTATTATTTGCTTTCATAGCACAGAAAAAGGGGGTCACATACTGACTACAAATAATAGCATTGCTTTCTCTTTGTCTCCGGTCATTAAAGTATAAATTTCAGATGCTATACAGCATTCATTCTAATCATGAGTCGGTTTTGAAACAAGGATCAATGAAATAAAAATGTTTTGTTGTGAACGACAATCAAGACTGTAACTGTATCAAAAATACGAGAAAGAAGGTTGTCATGGTGAATTTAGAAATCTTGAAACTTTTGAACACCCCTTCTCTCTCTCACACATAAAAAGATTGATCATTGTGGGTTTCTCTCTCTCTCTCTTTCTCTCTCTATCTCTCTCTCCCCTTGTGTGTGTGTGTGTGTGTCTCTCTCTCTCTCTCTCTCTTTCTCTCTCTCTCTCTCTCTCTCTCTCTCTCTCTC